TACGAACCGCAAGTGTGCAACCTGATTTTTTTTTATTTACCTACGTACGTTTTGAAATTATGGGACCCGGGGTCCCGTCGAGGTTCGACACTCGTCGCGAAGTTGCCAGCTCGTCAACCTAACGTTGTGCAGCGCGTTGTACAACACAAGTCACGTTTGTTGTGTAAGCACAAGTTTGGTTCCCTAGGATTTATCAACTGGCGCTTTTGATTTTTTGAAAGTAGGCCTATTTTAAATTTTGATAGCAAATATCTCGGCGGAAAATATTTGCACAGACCTTCATTTTAGCTTAAAAATTATCCTCTCTCTGAAAATGCAATATAAAAGAGGGGTTGCCATTTGAAAAGTCTGAGTTAAGGCCCGCCCAGCAGTCCGGGGCGGTGGCCCCGAAATTTTAATTATGCTCGAAAGTAGGTCTTATTGACGTAGGATTAAAGTAAAAATTTCATTTGGCTAAGTGCAACTGTTCAAAAGTCAAGGGAGGAGCTGAACTTTTTGAGCACCCTGTATGTTGAGATTAGTAATCATCATTGTTGGACAGTTTCACAGTTATTTTGGCAGTTTTTATTCATTTTTGTGGACCTGAAATTTGAATCTGTCGCATCTGAGTCACTTGCAGATTTGACGAACCACGCAATGTGGCAACGAAGCTCAATTATTGTGTGATGTTAGAAGATTTGATCAACTAGATTTTCTTCACGTATCATTGGACTGACACTGTTTTACAACAATGGAGAACTTCTTGTTCAAAGGGTGTATGAATCTTGCATTGCTGCTAAGATTGTGCAACCTAGTGCATAATCTGTAACTGACCTATCTCAAGCTCTGCAACTCCTCCCGTCCCCGTCCCCCACTACCCAAAGAAAAGCACTGTATCTTTTTTTGTTTATTCATGATAAGCATTTGAGTTTAAGTGTATTTGGGTTGATGCAAATTATAAGCAAAATTGCACAATCTCAGCAGCGATGCAAGGCTCATACGCCCTTTTACTCTTATATATTATTATTTTTTGTCACTTATTTAGCTATGTGTATATCTCTGGTTTTTTCGAATTAAATTACTCTGCATTTAGTCAACCCAGTTTTTTTCTCAATTTCATGCCCGACACTGTCATATTTCATTCTCATCACTTTTCCTTGTCTTTCAAAAACCGGAGAGAAAAATTATTCCATCAAGCAGGCACGCTTGTACAGCTAAGTGTAAGAATGATTGTTTTCTTTGAAAACAAATATACATATTAAGATATTGTATATAAATGTATGCACACATTTATTCAGAACTCTTACAAGTCAATCTATGTGTCTTTTAACCTTCTAAATTAAAACATAGCATGTACTTCCTACTGTAATAATAATGCCAACATCAGAGCCGGATTTTAGTTGTTTGCACCAAGCACCAAAGCTTTTCAGCATCTCCCATCCATAACGGACAGTGCCCAAGAACGAGTGTGGTCTGGATATTAAGTATACAGTTCTTGCGCAAGTAAGATTCGGATTGAATTCTGCAAAGATGGATAGGATAAATTGGAGAAAAGTAAAATCCCCCAAAATTTGGTGCCCTGTGAGTAGCCTTAAACAGTGCTTGCGGAAATCCTGCTCTGATGATCATTCATCTGGGAAGCGCCATTTTCATCCCTGCATGAACTCATCTGCAATCGTGCGTGGAGACAGGATCTTTTGCTCGACTGAGGAAATGCCTTTTTCTTAGATTTCTAGCCAAGGCGTTGCCTTTGATGTAGCGATACCTAGTTCATTTAAGCCCTTGTAAAGAAACAATTCTCAGGGTGTTCGGCCTGTTAAGTCCAAACACCCTCAGATTAGATTCTCTTCATGGGTTAAATGGAGTAAGTTTTGTTACATCACAAGTTATGCCACAGCCTGCGATCCACCATTCTTGGTGCCTTCTGGCATTTTGTCAGTCAAGCACAAGATAATTTCTACACGGAGGATTGCCGATGAGTACAAGACTGCTTTAGTCAATCCTGAAAAGGCTGAAGCAGGTAATTTAAACAAAGGTGTAACAGTGCAGGCAATAATGCTAAACCAGCTTTGATCATCAGCTGAATTAGTGACTTTCAGAAAGCTTAACTGTTCTGTAAACTATGCAAAACCAACTCGGCAGTTGGATTAAATTACTCTCTTTTGATAAAGCTGAAAAGCACAGTCAACAAATGTCGGGCCAGTCCAACAGATGAGCTGAAATAGCTATTTTGAAAAAAGGCTAAACTACCTCAATCGATTTTGCCTTAATAGCTGCTGAGTTGGGCTAAAACAACCATATACAGGAGAGCAAAACCAGTCAATAAATAGTTGCAAAGTTAGCTCCTCTTCAATTGGCTATTGTAGCCTTTGTTAGACTATCCAGGTTTTTAGCCTTTTGAAAAAGCTAATCGAGTCCTCCAGAGGACTATTCCAGCATTTCTTTTTTTTCAGTGTACCGTGCTACTTTACCGATTATATTGATCAGTTCTACTATTCTGAGCTACGAGCGTTGGATCATTTCATCGGGGGGGCCCCCCATTACAATTTAATGCTAAAAGAAAAAAAGGCGTAATTTCTATGCAGAAACTGATGGAAAATCTGCGTCACAGAAGCCTTGAAATGCGACCAAGTAGAGTGAAAATTTCAAAAAAATTTAGGGTCTTTTTGAATTCTTCGATCATTTCTTCGATTCTTCGGATCTTCTCCGAAAGTTTAAAAAGGAAACGTAATTTTTCTGCAGACATTGATGGAAACTCCATGTCAAGGAAGCCTGAAAACGCGTCTAATTAGGTAATAAATTTCTAAAATTTTCTGGGGGAAGACCCCCGGACCCCCCCCCACTCTGGNATACCCCCCAGCCCCCCCGTAGTAGAGGGACCCCGCAAGCCCCCCCCCCCTTCGCAACACAATCCTGGCTACGTGCCTAAGTAAGAATGGAAGCGCCGCGCAGCGAGGTAGCGGTGGTCTGATTTACGCGGCAAATTCGAAAATCAGATATTTTGAGCGAACCTGCCGGGCCGGCTAGTTAACTCATTGAGACACGCACTCAGACTGTAAGGGATGGATTTTTTTTTATTTGATATTCTTGATGTGTGTATTTTTTGAAAATTTTTGGCCCAAGACATTTTTTGATCCGACCAATAGGAGCCGAGATCCTGATGTCCATAATTGTGGACAATATGATCAAATGGGGTCAAGAAAATCTGTTTCGAATTTTTTCTTCGAGGCATACTATTAGAAATTCACAATGCAAAAAGTTTAAAATTAATTAGGTGCAATCCTCCCCCCCCCCCAAAAAAAAAATCCCTTGGGGGCCTGGAGGGGGGGGGGTTGATTTTATTAGCTATAAAGGCATGATTGACTTCTGATTTCAATTCTACGGAGAAAACTAAGGACCCCTAGTTCTAAGAAATTTGTTCCTGAACCCCCATTTTTTAATTACGGGGTATTTTGGGGGAATTTTAAATACATACCGAAAATGTGAGGTTAGATTCGCGCGGGAAAATGTTGACGTCATTTGATCATGTTGTCCACAATTATGGACATAAACTTTTTAAAAATCACCGAACACACGGACATTGAGGGAAAAAAATTTGATGTGGAAAAATCATCGCCTGCAACCTTCCTCTTTGGAATTATAAACAACATAACTTGAAAAAAAATATCTTTGACTGATAACAGTCGTGTTTAGTTACCAGCCTTCAATGGCTGATTTCGGCAACTGTTTACCGTCACTTGCTGACGTTAATAAAAATCTCTAAGCACTACCGAGAGAGTGCAGCAACAATTAGGGATACCAAGAAGGGTTGACTGAAGGCTTATATACCAAGCGCCAACCTCAATAATTGTCCAAAAAGCTCACGGTAGGCCTTCGAAGTTCATGTCCATAATTATGGACACTACGACTCAATGGGTTAACTCAAAAGACTGGAATTCATTAGCGAACAAGGGAAAAGGCGATCGACCGCATGGATTTGTATATCATTGCCGGGCAATGGCATTTAACTCAGGATCTAATTATCACGCCCGGATCGATCCCTCAAATGTCAAGATTTAAAACGCATTGCTGGTCCATCGCATCCGTCTACCTTAGTTGTGATCACAGAGCAAAAGAGAGGAGAATCCCATTTAGATTTGAAGCCAGTGTCCGCGATGAATCGATCCGGCCTCCCAACACTTGACGTGATGCAGGGGCGTACTGGCCCATCGGGACTCGAGTCCCGGTGCGCCCTCCCGCCCAGGCGCCTTGACGCCCTACTGCTTTCCAGAAAATGAAAAAAAGAGATAATAATCATGAAACAATGAAGATGTGAGAGGGCGCCTTCTTGTTAAGAGAGAGCATGCTTTCTTATTTAGAGACAAAGCGTCCCTTTCCGAACAAGGCAGGTTGGTGCGCCGAAGGTGGTGCTGAGATCTTGTGGTACAATTTTCCTAATTTAAAACCACGAAAAGTGACTCTAATAAGCGAAACCATTTTTCATTTATTTTTTCTTCAGAATGGCTTAAAACTGCGTCTAAAAAGGTTATGTTTTTCAAAATTTTCCGGGTGAGGACCCCCGGACTCCCTACTAGACCCCCCTCCCCCTGTGGTGGCGCCCTCAAAGTGTCCCCGCGCCCCTTTAAGGGTCCCAGTACGCCCCTGACGTAATGCGTGCCTTTATGAGATATCGAAGCATATCATATGCAGTCTCTGAACCTACGATAACGCTAACATGGACTCCCAATGGCTCATCTAATTTCATTTTTCAAGATTCCGAAAATTATTTCCGTAAGTAATCCCTTGGGGTGCCTCTTTTTCCCCAACCACCCTGCTTAACATTTCCCATGAAGATGATTTCCATGAAGTTGCTTTCCGTGCCATGTGCGCAAGGAATTGATTCTTGTTTTAGTCCCAATTTTCCATGCGGTTGATTTTCATGCAAGTTTTGCTTCGAACATTTTCACCGGCGCACTTTTTTCTGACCGTTTATCTTTCAGGAATGCTACTAAAAAAAGTAGAAAAAATAAGAATAAACAAGATCCCTTTTATATTAATTTTATTGACGTTTGTAGCATCATATAGATTGTACAAATAGTTTCATTTTATACAAGTTTTTACGTTCTTCAGGGTGGTTTTACTTCCGTTTTCTTATCCTGAAATGAAAATATCTTTCATAAGAAAGAGATTTCTCACAGTAGAGGCTATAGGTACATATATTTTTAACATCACGATCATTAAAAATTAAGTAATTGGCTAGGAACAAGTATCACAATTCAAAACACCTCCTGCAAACAGTACTATGGATATTACTCTGAAAGACGGCAACAATGACACTCCTCCATTTTTTCTTTTTATTCTTCTTTTTAGTTGGCATTACTGAGTTTGGTTGGATTCTAATTAAAATGTTATGCTTCAGTTTTCCGAGAAAAATAAGCAAGAGTTCCTCTGCCTCGCTAATAAAACTGCTGTTTGATTATCCAAATGCTGCCCCTACCTTCCGTAAAATTTTTCTTTTTGAGGAAACTTTCAGATACCTATTGAGGATTCAATTGCAAACTTCATTCTCGGAAACATTGAGACTAAAAACGACGGCCTCAATTGTTCTTAAGAGACGGCACTTTATCGAAAGAAATTTGGCAGTGTCTGGATGCTCATACAGCTTTATTCCTTAGCACTGCAGTATTTATGCGTGTGGCTTTTCTAGCATTTTCAATGAATTACGTATATTTGAAATATTTTAGCCTGAAGTTAAAGGTCATGATCAAGAGGACAGATTTGGAAACTGCATCAATTCAATTTATCTTTATACCTAATATAAAAAAAAAAAATGTTGGGCAGTGTGTTGCCAGTACATATTATTCACAGATATATCTGATTCGTAAATATTGTGACACATTCAAAATGACATGTATAGGAACATATACAAGTAAACATTTTTCTGAGAGTAAAAAAAAAAGGAATAGCATCTTGAGTACCTAATTGTATCAGCTGAAGCCGCTGAGGCACAGTCACCACTGATTTGAAAATATCTTATCGTCAACGAATTGAGATGAGCCGACTCTACATGCTACGATCGACCCTTCGAAAACGAAGTAAACTATATCATCGCAAATCTTGTAATAAATCTTTGAAGTTCACTGTATTGTGACTTTACATGCGGTTGTACACGTATCCTACTGGGATACAGAAAACGTCGAATGAGCTTTCGGACATTGTCAAAATTCTTTTGATAAAATGCAAATTGTAGGAAATCTTACCAACATTTTTCACCCAATGTTTTAGAGCATTTCTTTGAATTTATTCTACAGTATCTGAAAAATGCAGAGACAAATATTTGTAAATTTCCTCAAAAATATTGCTTCACGTAAAGCAATTTGGCAAAATTTGGTTTTTCATACAACGCTTTTTCTCAGCACGACAATATACACAACAAAATTTTTCCGTCTGCTCTTGTAAAAAAATATCTGAATTTACTTTATCTACTTTAAAAATAATGAGTACCTACATATTCTGAATCGCTAATAACGGCAATCGTGAAATTAAAATCATGATTGTTAATGGTATTGTCCTTCATATTTCTAAAGGTAAAAATAAAATGAATTACGGATAAAATTCGACGCGCTTAGCTATAAAAATGCTGAGGAAATTTCAGAATAAATTACAATCGAATTCAAAACAGCAGGAATCCTAAACTCGGCCTCTTGGAAGTCAGATATTAAATTACGTACAGGTATGCATAAATAAAAGAGCAAAAAATTACAGGAAATTACTTTCTATTGTCTTCTTAAAATAAGGGCAGCGTGAATTAAAAACCTGACTGTCAACTATAGGACCGAAAAAACTGTGGAAACTAGAAAAAGTAAGAGGAAAATGTGTTCTCCAGAAATATCAAGAGAGGTCTTGCCTGCTATGGATTACGCCATATGACCTTTCATGCGTTGCCAATTTTTTTCGACAAAATACAAATTTATTGGGAAAAGTGTGAATGTTTCTCTTCAAATTTTTCTGAAAATTTTGTTCGTAACTTCAAATAGATGAAAATTTCGAGGAAAAATAAACATAGCTTTCTTCCAAATCAATATTTCATCAGGGGGTATTTGGGAACATTCCAGTGTTTATATGTCACTTTTCTTTAGTATACGGTAGTTTGTAAAGACTCCATTCGTGTGCGCTCTTTATCAAGCTCATGATTGTGCAGCAAAGAATTATTGTGACAGGTAAAACTTTGGAATCAATTTTAAAATTAGATGAATTGCCTATTCTTTACTGTTTGAGCATGTTTTAATTTAAAGTAAGAACAAACAAAAAATGTCAGGGAATTTTTCTTCCTACAGTCTGAAAGCGCTCTGTCCTTTTCTCTGGGCTGAGAACTTGCGCTAATTTAAGGATAAGGGGATGATTTCTCCTCACTTGGATAGATGAGCGGGAGAAAACTTCAAAAATTAAAATTTTAACCATTCATAATTACATTATTGCTGATCGTTGAATGTTCAGTATTTTGAAACTCAGGGAAATTCTATGAAACTGCACTATTGTAATTTTTTTCAACACCGAGAAAAAAAATCATCTGAAAAAAGGTATACGTAAACATACTGTATTGATTTTTTAGCATACCATTAAATCAGTTTTCATGCACCTATACACCTTGTTAATATATAAACTAAGTGGGATTGGGTCATCTGATATTTGACAAAAATGTTTACATATGAAGCCACCTCTTTTGTTCATATTTGCATTTTTAACAGAAATATATAACAATAAAAAAATATCATAAAATGATGATTTAAAAATACCTAGAGAGCTCAAACTTAAATACAAAAATGTTGAAACATAATGAATATGATAAATTTCATCCAAAATTTTACGAGGTTACATTTATGGGATTATCCTGTGGAAAAATACCATTCTTTGACTGGCTAGGCCTGTAACAGAATTAAATTAGTGATTCTATTAGTCTCAGATTTTGACGCATTGTCATACCATCTACTAGGTTATTTGAAATTCACAGGATACGAATGTTAAAACTTTGTATTGAAGTTAGATTAAATTGAAGTCAAAATCTTTTATTGACTTGTAAGAACGAAACTTCAGTAAGAGCCAGTTCCTACCTAGCTTTTGAGTAATGTTCTCTTGAACTCTTGTGTTGGGACCTACAGGGTTTAGGTTCACTATTCTACTGAAAAGCTGGCCTTTATCTCTTCAAGGATCATTCACGATACCTCAGAATCCTATTTGTTGTACCCCAAAATGTTTTCCTTCGTTGTTACCCTCCCCCCCCCTCCACCTTTCAAAATAACTACTGAATCGCCTAATGATATCATATCAGTTTCTTTAATAAACCCTTTTTTAATTACCTACTGTTTTTCCTCCCTTATCGATTATTTTACTTCAAATATCGATGGCCAAAGTGCGAAACCATGAGTCTCCGCTTGCGACGTTACAGACTCCCTGTCATACTTCATAGTTTCTTTGAAAAACTAATCAACGCAATTCACCCAAAACTTAATTGATTATTCTTCTCTGATGACAGGATATTCTGTTTAAAGTTCAAGCTGTAAGGTTGATTATTTATTCTTCGACAAATAAAATAGAAAAAGAAATTTTGAAACACCGCAATGGAGATTCGTCGTTTCTGACTTTAGCCATAGATATGTCACGAGGAGTCGAGTAGCCGTTGCAAATCACTGAAGATGGATAATAATTTACGAGTGTGCAACTTATTACTTTTGAATATAATTTATTTTTACTCGTGAAAATAGAGAGCTAAAATGGTCAACATTATAATTACAATACAGTCTTTTATTCATATGCTAAAAATGAAAGAATAGAATGACAGAAAGAAAGAAAAACAATCGTTTAACAAAAGGAATCACCTCTCCGACAACTAGCGTGGTCGAAACGGCAAATCACTTCAAAAAAAATAACTTACTTATTGTTTCAGAGATTTGTACAATATAAAAAACACAGCCAATTTCATTGAATTCTTAAACATAGTAATGACACGAACATGAATTAACTTAAAGCGCAGCAACGGAACGTACTTCAAGACGGCGACCTACGATCGGACGGCGAGAGCTCTTGCTTGGATCTGGAGAGGATGCGTGCGGTTTCGTTCTGACTAGCATTGTTTGCAGCACCCTGGGAGAGCTCGGGTGTTGTGTGGAGGATCGCGTAGCAGGGAACACCGTCCTCTTCCATCTGCATGCTCGTCTCGGCAGCCGAAGGTATCGTCGTAAGGAACCTGACGGTGAGTCGAGCTGGGGAATTGGGTAGTTCGGGATCATCAACAATGGCACTCTGTCGCGTCAACCGAGGCTTGGATCGAGCCTCACTTGACGTGCTCGATCTCGAGACCCTGGAAACACTCGTGCTGGCCGTATTAGCCGAGCCCGAACTATCGTTTCTCGAGCTGGATAAGTTTGAGTCTTGCGACGTTTTCCTTGTAACGATCCAACTAGATGCTCTCCGTTTGGGATCCAGGAGTCGCATGGGTATCCCGCAATGATGGTGGTTCTGCCTCCAGGAGTCCGAACGCGATGAGCTGAAATTATCGCTCGACGAGACGGAAGAAGCTCGTTTATGCTGCTTCTGTTGGATCTCCGCGATCTGGTACGCATACTGATCCGATCTTGTGATGTGCTTGACGTTGGACTCCCGGCTGAAGCAGAAGATCCACCGGAGCTTCTGGAAGAGCCAGTGGCGGCTACCCAGAGGCTGCGAGGAAGACTTATCACCTAGAAGCCTAACGTTACAACTACAAGGTTGGTGAATATGTGGGTAGTGATCGCGTGAGGACCTGTCCACTAGACTATTGGTGTTGGCCGGCGTTTGTCGGTTGCTAAAATTCGAGCTGTGCCGACACCGACCAATACCTCGCGTCACGCGGGACTCTTCGATCCCCTTGCATATTAGCACGCAGTCCTTTTTGAATTGTTTGGTCAGAATAGCGTAGAGGAATGGATTGCAGCAGGAGTTGAGAGGTAAAACGAAGACGGTGAAAACTTTGGCTTGCTCCAAAGTCACGAGTTGGAGTCCAAAGATGGCGGTTAGCGAGAAGAAAGCTATCGGGGACCAACAGAGGAAGTCGGTAAAAACTAAGAGCGACATTCTCTTGGCGATTCGAGATTCGTTTGAATTCCAGGCCTGCGAGCCTCGTATGGCGCAGTACATCTTCAGGTAGCAGCCCATGAGGATAAGGAAGGCTACGCCGTTAAAGAACATGAGGAATACAACGTAAGCCAGGGACTCGGGACCGGTGGTGACTTCGAAAGGAAGACACGTGGCGAATTTCCGGTAATCGGAGATGCCGAAAATAGGCAGGGCGGCCATTAGGACTGAGAAGGACCAGCCACAGGTCATTAAGTACCAGGCGTGTTTCAGGGATAGACGCTTGTTCAAGTGCATGGCATGGGTGATGGCGTAGTTCCGTTCCAGGGTGATAAGTGCCAGAGTGTACACGGATAGTTCCGAGCTGAGAACTGCCAGGAAGCCTCCGCCGCGACACCACCATGATAATTGGAATGGAATCGCGTATTTCCTGAATTCACCCAATGTGCTCGCGTCCACAAAAGCTAAAATGCCTACAAAATAAAAACAGAAAGTATTAAGAAGAATCCCTGGAAAATCATTGGCACAGTTCATCAGGAAAAGAGAAAGTATGCTAGTTCTTGTGGGCTGGACTAGTAATATTTAAGGAGAGTCATGAGTGTTATATTTTTTTGCAAATTCTCTCCCTCCCCTCAGCTTTTTGTCTACCAGAATTTTACATATTCACAGCTGTGATTACCAAATTCTTTTTAAAAGAATCTGATGATATAACATCAGTTGTGCAAAATTTTTGGACGCATAGACAAATGCCATTCGACACCCTTATGACGTCATTCCTATGTGCTCATGATCCCTTTTTCGCCCGATGTGAATTTTTGGTTTAAAATACAACAATATACGTTTTTTTACGTTTTTTAATAATGTTTCTGACCAAATGTGTATTATCCTCAGAATCTACTGAATGGATTTTCAATAGCATTTTTTTTTCTGCAATTACTTTTCTCTAAGTACAGACGAAAGGGTTTTTTTTCCAATTACTCTTCAAGAAAAAAACGATCAGTCGAAAAGGCCCTTCGGGTGAAATTTCTTTCAACTTTTTTCTAAAACTCACTCCGGTTCAAATTATCGTAAAGAAGAAGAAAATAAAACGGGAGAATTTACCAAATTGTGAGCATTTTTAAATCAAAACCACAGAAATTACTTAAAACTAATTTTAAGGGGGGGGGGGGTTTCGGACCCCCAAATACGTCATTTTAAAGGTCATACGATTTTCTCGCGAAATGAGCCAATTTCTCCTTACTTTTCCTCAACAATATCTTAGTAAAGTCAAAATTAGTTCAACATTGCGTTTTCAAGTCCCCAAATTTCAGGCAAAGTTCAAAAAACGAAATCTAAGGTGATACAATTCAACTATTCAAATTTCATTTTTTTAAAAACCTTTGTTCGAAATTTGGGAACTTGAAAACGCAATTTTGTCTCTGCAATGGATGTTACCAATGGTACATCTACCATTGGTTAGAGCGCGCGTTGGTAGATGGGAATCGTCGCCATTTTCGGCTGTGGACCTTGCCATGATTTTATTTTAGTTCATTTGTTTTTTCTTGTGAGCGAATGATATGCTGTGTAGTGTGTTTTTGGAATCGTTGTGATACTGTCGATAATTCAAAACTAGTCTGTGATTTAATCTCGTATTGAAAAAAATGTATTTAACGTTTAAAATCTGAATTTTCAAAACGACAAGTTTTCGCGCTTTCTTGGAAGAATGCCGTGCTTGGAGCTTCCTAGTCGTACTACTTCATGGATGGATTCGTCCCTAGCGGCGTTTTTGTGTATTAATGCCTAAAATGCTAAGTCGGGTCCTGTTCACTCGATTTTCGTGAAACTCGGTAACCGGAGGGATTTTTCAACGAAAAACTCGATTTTTTTTGGTCACATTTTCAAAATTTCAAAATCCAAGATGGCGGCCATGGTCTAAAATGCTAAGTCGGCTCCTATTCACTCGCTTTTCGTGAGATTCGGTATCCGGAAGGATTTATCAACTGGGAAACTCAAATTTTTGGTCAGATTTTCAAAATTTTCTAAATCCAAGATGGCGGCCGTGCCTTAAAATGCTAAGTCTGCTGATTGTGGATGCGGACAAAGATAACATATTTGCCATTATACACCATACTTCGTTAAAAAAAGTAAATTCGTTCTTTTAAAAGTTAATAGCTATAAGGGGCGGCTCGCGGAACAAGTAGCAAGTTCATCGCAAAGCGAGGAACTGGGGGTCCAGGGGCACTCCCCGGCTAGGCAAGACAGCTTGCTGCTGAACACGACGAGTGGTTTATATATGTCTTGGATATGAGCGGCCCAGAGCCGCTCTCCAGCGGCAGTGCGCTGGAGTTACTGCTTGTTTATCATTCATCGCACAATTATCATGAGCATTGTTAATTTTGTAGGAATCCTTTCGTACTGTCTTGAGACGAAATGCATTGAGTAAAAAAAAATTACTCGGCTAGTTTCGTTATGAATGAGAAAATTTATTTTACGTTGCTTACTATTCCTTAGAGAGGGTTATTCAAAATCGGCAATTTGCCCGTATTTCGATAAGTCGTTCCCTATCATAAGACACTCCTTTTCCCGGCATTGGCAAGTTCACCCAAAATTTTTCCCGCGCGCTACAGCGTTGCCAAGTTGAAAACGTAAAAGTGACATTTAAATTGAGCTATTAAATCGCGGTTTGACGAAAATTCTCTAAAAATTGCGCACTTTAAAGATGTGTTCATGCTTTGGATGTCTTATTAATTTTAACATGCACATTTACTAATTTTTCGACTTTTAAATTCATCAATTTTTACAAATCCGCAACTATCAGAAAAGGGCTCTGTTTTGATTTAAATCAAAGTTGTCTAATCGATAGTTTGTTTGATTTCGCATCAATCGATATATAATGACTTGCATGGAAATTTAGTGGTCGCGAGATATGGCCATTTTTGTAAACAGCTTTTTGGAGCGACAACGCTTGTTGAGTCCGGGCAGGTAGACATTTTAGCCTACAAAAACACCGGGTAGCCTTAATTTATTGGTTTCCAGTGTAAACTTTGACGCTGAATTCGAATTTCTTTTGATCGAGGAATTGCTGCCCGAAAGTTGCCAAATTTGGCAAAAATCGCTTAAAATCGGATTTTTTGCGGGTAATGGCCTGTGAGTTGCCAGGGGTTGATCAGACGACAAAATTTGTTAATTCCAAAGTTAAAACTCGTTAAATTTTCAACAGACTGGATGCAATGTTTTCTGCTTACGGCAAAATAAAACGCGCGACAAGCGGGAAATTGAAAAAAAAAAGCACCAAAATCGACGCTTTTAGCGGTTTTTGTCCTACGTGTTTCTTGATTCCCGACTGAGGGAATGATTCTTAAGACAAATTTAACTACAAAGAGTGTAACGAAAAAGTATTGCATCGTTACATACATACATAAGAGCCGCTTTTACGGCGATCTCTCGAGGTCTGCGACGCCTAACCGCCATAGTGCCCTGTCTTCACATACATGCTCAGAAAGTTGGCGAGCTCCTTCATTTCGTTTAAAGCCCCTTACCGCCCTTCCCTGGTCGTCTTCTTCACTTAGGCATTGTCACTTTTCTTGATTCATCTCAATTGACTCAAAATTATAAAACTATAATGTACTAGCCGCTCCGGACGCGCTTTGCGCGTCCATCACGGTTAGCCAAGGGGTTGCGCCCCCTGGACCCCGATCACTCGCTATGCGAGTGGCATTCGGCTCGCTCCGCGCGCCATTTCTCTGAGTAGTTGGATATTTGATCCCTAGGATGTATACATTTTGGAGACACACAAGACAAACATAATTTTGTCACAGAACCTTCACCGAAAAAAAATAATATGCTGTTTTAGCATCTAGGATGTCAAAAATGTGTCTGGTGATCCCAAGATGCTGCCTTTACTGCCCCCGCAGTTAATTTTACATCCTGTGAATGCAAATTCAACTGCGGGGGCAGTAAAGGCAGCATCTCGGGATCACCAGACACATTTTTGACATCCTAGATGCTAAAACAGCATATTATTTTTTTTCGGTGTTGTTACCGTAGCATGCCTTCATTTGCACAATAATAAATACTAGGGGGCTATGACCCCTGGCCGCTACGCGTCCCAGCCCCCAGAGGACGCTTCGCGTTCTCTTAGGCCCGCGTTGACCAAAGAACGACCCAAGAAAATGAAATGATTTTCATACCCGATTCTCATTTATCCAGTCTTCCTCTGTTCCCTCCCCACTAATTGTTGATTAAATGCCCCAAAATACAATTCGATCTTCATTAAAATCGATCGTCAATGATAAACTTATAAAAATGAATATTATTAAAGTTTAAAAATATAACCTTTGCATCGTTGTAGTACTGCCAAAAAAAGGCTTATTCATGGATTCAAAACTTTCAATGGTGACTTTTTTCATCAAGATGTTTTATTTTCACTTCGTGTAAGTATTGTAAAGTCTACCTTCAAGTTGGTTTTTTAAAGGAAATCCATAAAAATATGAAAATGTGTATAACTCAAATATATGCAAACATTGCAACGCTGTATCTCGGAAACCAGACGTATACTCAAGCTAAATTTTTACTGGAGGCTTGTTTTATTATAAGGATTCATTTAGGCCACGTACGAATGAAATTCCCACGTTTCAAAGAAGGAGCCACTTTTTAAGAGGCTCATTATTGAATATCTAGAAAAATTTTACCTCATCAGAAATGGTGGGAAAAATTGTGTGAAAAGTGATACAAGCTCACTTGTGTATATTGAAATGCTGGGTTCGGTAATGACGTTAGTTTGTCTCTGGCAGGCACCAATTTTCCAGATAATCGATTTTCGCGCGGATGTACTTCAATAGAATTAATCACAATTTTCCAGAAAATATGTGGGTAAAGTAAAACAACTGAGGCCACTTTCAGGGTCAGTGATAAATATTACTTAAGCATCAACGCTCATATTCCCAATAAAAAACTTATTTGCAGACATGTGCAATTTTTGAGGAAAGATAAACGTTGAAATACTAATTGTGCTCGGAAAAAAATACGCACCGAAAAAAAAGAGGTGTAATTTGAACAGTCACTTTGGGCGTCAAATATAATACCAGTTTTTCATTTTATCTAATCGCCCTGGGCGCTACCTCAACATATCTTAGGTATTAAAACAGCAACCAGCAACGCGGTTGCATGGACGGACTGTCAGGTCTGATGAAATGACAGATCAAACGGTCAAATTAACATGAAAAGTATTTTAAATCAACAGCCTGTGTAGTTCGTAAAATCAACGTCTGTAGACCCGGGAATGTAATCGACAGGCGGTTCATTTTACCGCCTCCGCGGCGTTGAACAAACACTCATGTAGACTGCGAAGCCTACGGTTCCTCTGACCTCACTATAATGGCCGTCAACATCACCATGGCTTATTAAGATGACTTTGAATTTTTGGCCCCCCGCAAAAAATTATTGTTCTTGGGACTGGAAAACATGATCATTCATAGCTGTCCCTTAATAATGATATTATTTTGAAAATTGTCATAATTTTCAGTTTTTTATTGCTGACCTGTCAGCAACATATTACAGACTTTTAGTAATGTAAAAAAAAAGAACCTGTTAAAATACACGGAAAAAGAAATCCGCGTTTACGCGCGGTATGTTAGAAATATTGCAAACTTTCGTCTTAAAAGTATTTTAGATGGCAGTATTTTGAAATTTAAATAAATACATTTTTTTACTTTGAGGCAAAGCTAGAAACAAAGCGTGGTTTTTCTTAAATTTAAATAATATAAGACTTTAAAACATTTTATGCCGCAAAATATTCGCATCCTCAAAGATCTATGACTTCAATCTATGAGTTCTCAAAACAGTTACAAAATGAAGGTCAGCTAATATATGAACAATTTTGAGTAACAAACATGCAAGTGTTACTATCTATTTACCTAAATTTATTGAAAAACTCATGAAAAATGTTTTGTTCACTTTGTTTTTTTTTCTCCTCCTCCTTTTTTGAGTCATCCAACAAAACTACGCAAGAATTTCCTGCTACTGTCTTAAAATAATTGTTCAGGCTAAAATATAAATAAAATATTTTTTTAATAATTTGTAATTAAATAAAAGGAGGGAGAGACATAAAGAGAGAAAAACATATATTTCATGGGTCAAACTAATATTATAGCGCGAAAGAAGATCACTAGAAAATCCTATTGTGATAGTGAGATACTATAGGAGAAGCAATATAATGTGTGAAAAGTGAGACACTCGAGAGGCAGCCTGGCTAGCTCACACGGCAGTAATCCAAAGGTTGCGTGTTCTAATCCCGCCACGGACAGAAGAATTTTAAGGGTGCTGGATGATTGAATCATCTCCGGTAGAGTAGCCTGGTGGAGGTAAGGATGTTCTCAAATTAAATAATAAACATGAAAGACAGTAGAGAAAATTAAATTTTTCCCTTAATTAAAAGTCTTTTTTGCAATTGCTCATAAGTGCTGGGTTAACAGTCAGGGGCGGTAGATTTTACCGCCTGTTAGTACTAGCTATTGCGTCAGCAGCTCGAGGTGGTAATATTTACCGCCTGGGGCCGTTGGCTTAGCGGCCTCGAGCATTAGTCCAACAGACCAAAGGGTACTGAATTGCCGTTTCAGCATGTTGTTGATACAAACAACAGGTTAGAGTCCAAATTTTCAACCGCCTTAGGATGTTGAGTCAGGTCCCAGGGCGATTGGATGAACTCCTCTTTTTTTCGATGCGGGTCTCTTCGTTTTACTAAGTATGTTTTCCTGAAGTGACTGAAGAAAAACTGAATTTCCCTGCTTTCAAATTCGGGGGCCGTGAATGTTCCACATGAACTTGCTTAAAACCACTTGTGTGAGCTCGGTTGACACCACCCCAAACCGTCCCAGGCATCGTGGTTATTTGTTTTTAGCCTTAGTTGCCAGTTTTTTGTGTTTTTTTACTTGTAGAAGTGGCTGACCTAGATAGGCACCCATACAAAAATCCGCTGCCGCCAGGTTGCAGACCAAGAAACGCTGCACATCCATCTTTGATCTTGAAGAACAATGAACGATGACTACCGTGCCGTTTCCCAACATAGCCAGAAGGAAAACCACCCACACTCCGCATCGAAGAGTCCACCAATCAAACAAATCTTGACACGGTAAGAAAGGTCCTGCGAAAATAGTAATAATGAAAATATAGGTATGCAAGTCTTTAGAGTTCATAATTTTTACGCAAAGCTTCTAGTATCAAAGCTATTTGTCACCGCAGTGGAAGCTTAAACTTCAGAAACGCGTAACACTTGTGATGTCCCAAAATGTCCAATCCGAAATTGTTCTTCACGAGAACATTACCGAATATTTTGAAATATTTTAGAAAATGAAAATGGCAATCACAAAAACTTTGCTGTGATAACGATGATAAATGGACAGCAAATCATTCGTACATCAATTTACTGGCGTATGTTGTTTGGTTCATAAATCAACCACTTATCTTTATTGCGGTGTTTTAAAATCCTCTCTAATGGGTCATTTTTTTGAAAAGGAAGGTCAACAATAGGTAAAGATTGCCACAGAATATTCTACAAACAGGAAAAAAATCGGATAGGTTTTCCAGAAATTAAGTTGACTAGTTTTCCAGGTAAAGATAAAGTATGCCAGAAATTTGCATCGTTAAAAACGGAAGTACGTGGTCTCACACTCTATCAAAGCCTGATTCTGTGGTTTTACCTAGAGTACCTGTATACGGGAAATTTTTGCCATCTCTGTGCCGCTCTCTGATTGGTTCATAAGTTTTTAGCTTTCATGGAGCTCCAAAGTTGGCTGAATGTAAACAAACCCGACCGAGAAGAACACGTTTTATCGAGTGAGAAATGAATGATAATCACATTCGAAGCTTACATTTTGGCAAACATATTCATTAAAGTTCGATCCGAACTTAATTCAGTAATTGGATCTTAAAAAATACTAGCTGCTTCAGCTCGCTACGCTCGCTTGCGCCGCTAGCCGGGGCACGCCCCCTGGACCCCAAGTGACTCGCGGAGCGAGTCACTGTTGGCTCGCGAAGCGAGCCAAATTTTGCTACTACAAGTAATTAGAGGACTTTCTGAAGGCAAACTGAGAAATTCAAAAACAAAGAATAAGAAACTAATAATGATAACCACCTACTTCAAGAAAAAGAAACATCCTTGAAAAATAAAAAACACTCCTGTAAAAGAAAATCAAAACACTTTGGGAAAATTTAACGGTGCGAAAGGGTGAAGATTAATCACTGATTCTCTTGGAAGAATACATAAGCTGCTGTAAAAAAGTTAATTATTAATAAAACCTGTGCTGCCGCGTAAAAAGGAAAATTATCTTCCGAAAAATACACATCAAAATTAAGTCATTTTCATGTAAAAAAAAAACTAAAGACAAAATCAAGAAAGCAAAACCCTAGACGCACTGATAAGAAACATGGACAAACTGAGAACTCATTATGAGCAATGCGACGAAGGAAATGCGTATAGCAGGTGTTCCGAGTCGGACAGCATAAGGAAGGGAGTGATACTGCCATAGGACCCATTCCAGGGTAGAAGGGTGACACGTGTTGTAAGCAGGTAGGGATGGGTTTACGTGGAGAGGGAAACGAAAAATCAGAGGGTTGGAAGTCCCCCAACCATATGACTCGTCCAGCGTCAAAAACGCAAATATGTCGTTATCAAATCGAGGTAAATTTTGCAACATCGGTCGCGCAAATCGAAATACCGAAGAGTGCCTGCACATCTACAGCCTAAGAGCTTTCTTCTAAAACAAATTCGAGGAAAATCGGTCCAGTAGTTTCCGAGATCGAATTAGGACAAACTGTCCAAAGTGAAGGAGGACAATAAAAAGTCTTAGGATATCAAATATATAGAAAGAAGATCTGTCACACCCAAAATCACGTCTAGAACTATGTAGAACTTTTTCGCCATATTGTTTGTTTATATTGGGCCAAATTAGGAGCGGAGAGGCTGGAATTATTTACATTGATCCAACTTTGGGGCTCCATGGTGGCCGACGAATCAGAGAGTGGCACACTTTTTCTGTAGTAAAAGGATTGAGACGGCAATACTCTCCCGCATACAGGCACTCTAGATTTTACCATTATCGTGTGATAATAAATGGTGGACATTTTGAGAGGTGACGGATCTCGGACTCGCACGTGCACGCCACGTCGCAAAATGATTCGCGAGTCAATGGGGCAGGTCGGACATGAATTATTATTTGACTAAAGACTACAAATTTTGAAATTATTTTTGTCAATAGTTTTAAATTTTAGGAGATTCTTCTAAAAGAAAAACGGAAAAACCAATGAAACCACTCCTAAAAATTCCATTGTGCTTCGCACCGTGCGTTGAGCCACTAATCAAAAAAAAATTGGCAAAACACGTGCTGGCACCTGTTGCGTAACGCTTTGCGGATCTTTTCTGCACGATATTGGTTTTTTGGATACTTTAAATATGAATTATAGCAGTGCAAGTGCTCACCTGGTAGGGGCAAACATTGAATTTTTCCGGTTGGACCCTCAAAATGATGCTGTTTGCTTTCTTGTTCTTCGAAATATTCTTCTATGTATGCCGGTAAGTTCCCTGGATACGTAAAATCTGAGCCAAAAGTATCCCATAGTTCGTTGATTTGCGTGCCAAATTTTTTGCTTAGGTTTTCTAATGGACATGTAAAAAAGGGAAGGAGACACATTGCTAGTTAGAAAATTTGAAACATCTGCACGCCAATAATTGCAATGAATTATAATTGACTGGTAAAATTGTCGCTGTTAGATCGGAATATTCCGCATGATGTCTATTCACCACTTGAAAAGGCTTAGCTCAGTGACATTTGGACCGCGTTCAGCACAAAAGAACCAAGCTACATCAGCAATTGACAAATGTAACTTAGCAATTCAATTTTTTAAAAGAGAACGTTTCTGCAGATTCTTTTAAAATTTGTGAAGAATTCGCTTTGTACTATGCAAAAAATTCACAGAGGTTTGCACAAAAATCTGCATAGCCGGTTTCATGTAAGAAATTGAATGGCCCATTTAAATTTATCAATAGTTGATGTGGGTTGACTCCATTTTGCTTGACTCGGTCCCTTCATCGTGATGAAATCGAAATAAATTGCAATTTCTATTTTTAAATAGCAAGTCACATACTTTTCTCACACATGGAATTATAATTTCATTGACAGTTTAAAATGAGCATTGTGACTAAATGATGTAAAAACATTGTAATTCTAGGGTAAAAAATTGCAATTTTATTTCATCGAATTACAAAAATTATTACATTATTTCCATTCCGCTGCGTTACTTGGGAAAGGAGCGATTTTAATTTTAGTATATTATTGGAGGGACAGTTTTACCTCCAGAGAAGATTTAATTCCAGCCACACAGGTCCTGCTGTGGGTTTTTTTTTTTTTTTCATTTTACTAGAAACCAATATGACGTATTGGCAATACGTCATGCAACGGACCCTAGTAATGATGAAATCACTAAGCTCCAACCAAATTGTCCATACACATACGACCGTCTATACTAAAATGGACCAAATGGTGCCGAAAAGTGGAAAATGAGATGTTAAGAAAATTTCCACGACTGTATATCGCCGAGTATTAGACTTTCTGTTAACCTTCGTAACAACAAAACGAAATTCCCTCCCGACGACGGTGCGGCTGCAACACTTGATTTTAATGCGTGAGGCAATGACGACCGCATCCAAAATTCTCAACCCATCCCTCCGGTTGGGTCAAAAATTGGATGGATGCAAACTTTGAAAAAAATTCATTGAGAAACTGAGTTGAGTTCTCAACTTCACCATAACGTTTTGCTTCCTTCGATTTGCAGGTCTGCCGATCTGGCTGAAAAGTCGACCAAATTCACCCGTGGAAATTCGCCTGTCGTTAGTATTACTACAGTCGGTGGAGTAATTTAATGACAGCAAAAATCGCTCAAAATAAGACGAATTGATTCGGAGTTATGCTGGTTAAAAGTTTGCAGTTTTGAAACGTAAATTTGGACAAAATCGATTTAAAGTTTTGATTCTCCAAATTCGAGCGAAAAATTGACGGATTTTAATGCAGTTTTATGCACTCCATCCGCAAGAACATGAATCACAGCCTAAAAATTATTCGAACTAGCATATACATTGATTTTGACTGAGTGCTGAAATTTAATTTCTTAATACATCATGACGGAAATCGCTGCCCTGAGAATTTGTATTCCAGCACTCTATTCTCTTATCCATAGTAAGGAACCTGTTCTGTTCTGAGAATGTGCATTCCACATCTCTACGGATGATCGTTACATTCTTTGAGCTACGATTTCTGCAAACTTGCGTTGGGCTTTGGCGTTGATTAGATTAAGCAACTCAACTAGCTTCATGGTAAATTGTGCAGTATCATACAAAAATAAAAGCGCTCTGATATACAGTACATAGTGACGCCAACGTCATTGGCAAACTTTCGTGGTGGACGTACGCACCTTAAGCACCGTACATTAAATGTTCTCACAAATTCGGTTTCACGCAAGCTCTTTGAAAAAGCTTTAATACAAAGTATAGCCTCTTTTAACTTACGGAGTTGGGGCCAGATATCGGTGAGGCTGGAGTTCCACAAAGTCATATCAAACTCGTTGTCACTGGGAAAGATAACCGACTCGTGCAAAGGAGCCTTTGGGTGAGGATTGGCGGATATTAGTGGAAGAAATGCACAGCAGTGGTATGCATAGGATAAGACTAGAGTTTGAATTCGCGGAAAATTCTCCGGAGCAGGAAACTCTCGCAAATTCGGATTGTTAAATGTTTTCAAATGCAGGAGCCTTTCCAGTCCTGCCGTGGGCAGTTCGTTAAAAATGTTGTTACCTAGATTCCTGTGGATGAGAAATATGAAAGGATGAGAAAGGCATGCATTCAAAGCTACCATATTAAGTGACACAATCCAACAAATGAGGATTCAAAATTTAAAACTTGATGATTTTCATCAGAAATCTCCAGGAAAATTCAGAACTCGAAAATATCTCAACAAATTTGTCAGTGGTAAACTTCTGGTGCTAGCTGCTAGATTTTCTGAGTAGCACATTAGCAGATCGACGGCTGGAGATCAAAAACTTACATATTAATTGCGATTTTTCAAAATTTCTGCTCCTAATTTAATTTGGTACGAAGGCGATAAAGGACGTGGCGTTTGCGGATTCTAAGAGTCCAGTGGCATTTGCGGATTCTCATGTCTTGATGGTGGCGATTGCAGGAAGGCCCGGCAGGGCCGTAGAGTTTGAGTATCAAAGAGTTCCCAGTTAGACAAAAAATATTTTTAAGAAATTTTTAAAATATGAAATTAATATTTTCGCAAAATATTTTGGGAAACCTTTAAAAATATTTTTAAAATATGTTAATGTTAACATCATATTATTTTAAAATATTTCTTGAATATTTTAAAAATATTTCTTGAATATTGTCAAAGTATTGTAAGAATGTTTTGAAAATATTGCACAAGTATTACACCCTAGAGGGCGCGCTCTCTAGGTGATGTATTTGGTACTAATGTTCTTTCGAACGTGCATATGCGTTACTACAAGGTGGTGGATCATCGTAGAGTTGTGACTTACCTTAAATTCCGCGCCGCCCTAGTCGGAATAAGAACCCACGCCTCGGGATGGAGTTGAAATCCAAGTCCAGTACTTTACCACCAGACCAGCCAGGCTTGATATAGATGCGCCCCTAAATTTAATCTCTTAATTATCGCAGGCTTCTGAGTCCGTAATGTTTTTAATTAATATTTTTTATAATTGCGTCTTTTTCCAGTTTTAATTATTTGGGCCTTTTTCTAGTTTGAATTTACGTCGATGTATTTATGTTATTTATTTATTATTATTATTTCCTTTTTTTCTTTTAAATTCTTATAATACTAATTTAAACATTTTTAAAAAAATGTCATATTTTAAAAATATATTATATTTCAAAAATATTTTTAAAAATATATTATATTTCAAAAATATTTTTAAAATATATTAAAAATATAAAAAAATATTTTTAAAATATTGCTGTCGAACTGGGTTTCGGCGGCGGCGATTGCTGACGTGGGGATAGACACTTACATATGCCGCCCTTCACCCCTGCTTGCACGAAATATCATAGAAAAGAATGGGCCACAAGATAAGGTACTGAATGAAGTGTATCCGTCTGGTTTCAGCGGAACCAATGGCTGAACAATCCCGAAAACCCGCACAAAGTGTGGAATGTAAGCGGTCTAAGGCGTAGGACCACTAATGTTGCAAAAGGCAAGTTTCTCTCGTAGATCCTCCCTCCCCCCTCTTCGACACTCTTGATTAGATTAAATTTTAATTTGAATTCATATTATTTTATTTAATTTACTTAAGTAGGTACGATTAATTGTGACTTTCTTATATGTTGGCATAACCGTTTGAACAGGAATATATGGGAACAAAGAGGCTCTTAATTCATTTCCTCGTGAAGAATTTAAAATCGGATGGCATTCACAGTCAATTTCTCATGCTGAAAACGAAAATGAGATATACAGAAAGCACGCGAGGGAAGGAGTCTATCCACATGGATGAGAGCATTGAGTAGGCTTCACAAAAATTAGTGTCCAGCCAAAGATCGCCAACGGACCTACGATGCTTTCAACTCCAAGTCGGCTATTTACAACGTTTCGATTGAAACATTTATTATTAATTTTATGGATTGCCTAGATTGAAGTAGTTGGCTCTAGATTCTATAAATTTATGGATAAAGATGTTCTACCAGGTCAATTTCCAAAAGTCCTTGACTTTTGGTATTTTCCGAGTGAAATATTATGTTTTGAATCCCAAAAATGAAGAGAAAATGATGATTTTCCAGTTTCTCGATTTATGGTATGCCTTCTTAAATTCATAGTAAATAAAAAGTCTACATCAAGAGTCGCGGTAGCCACCCCTGCCTGGTAGAGAAAAATGACGTCCTACTAAAGTCCCGATATAGTCCAGGCGCCTGGTAAGGCTACCTGGAATTTTGGGTACACAGCGATTTTATTTTTTGCTTACATTATGTTTGAAGTCACTGAATCCGAATCTGAACTTTCCTACCGCGTATCTGGTGAGAATTTTCCGCCATTTTGAAAAAATGGCCTAATGAGGCCTTTTTTGCTGTTTTTTTATATAGTGGCTACGCATGAGAAAAAGTCCCGGATTTAGTTAATAATTTGAATAGCTGACATAATTTGGAAGAAAATGGTATATGAATATGCTAGGTTTGCTGAAGAAATGAGGATCCTCGGATCTCGGAACTTTAGAACGCCTCGGAACTTGGCTGACCGCGGCGAGCCGGATCGCGCGTTGGCGGGTGCGCCGCGAACACGTGATTGGGCGCGATGTTCACGATGTTGCACCTTCCTCAATGTTTAAGGAAACCTAGCATATTGTGTATACACCATTTTCTTCCAAATTATGTCAGCTATTGAAAACATTAACTAAATCAGAGACTTTTTCTCATGCGTAGCCGCTATATAAAAAAACTGCAAAAAAGGCCTTTTTAGGCCATTTTTTCAAAATGGCGGAAAATGCTGACTAGATACGTGGTAGGAAACTTCAGATTCGGATTCAGCGACCCAATAAACAAATATGAAGCCAAAAAATCGCTGCGTACTCGAAATTCCAGGTAGCCTCATTTTTAGCTACCAGGCGCCTGGACTAAAGGGACAAATGAACAAATGGGTGGCCGACACTTTTAGTCACACCTAACTCCCTTAATCTGAAAATGGATTCGATTTAGAATGAAATTCAGAGCAAACGGCGGCACGGATTCCAACGATCTTCGTGTCGTTGGACGTGGCTAAGTTAGCCGAATGGCGTATAAGGGTTTCATTAAGATCCTTTGAGTTATCAAAAAGTTATGAGCATTTAAGGACCCACAACGACGAAAATTTTACTTTACATGCCCTAGTAGCACAATTAGTGTTTAAAATGTTTCAAAAATGTGTCACTGAAATCAAAAAAACATCGTCAACACATTTTATCGAAAAATTTTAAACACGTTCAAAATGTTTTCATTCAGTTTTTAACACGTTTCAGACACTTCTCTATGTCACCCCAAATTTTTGTCAAACTGACACCCTATGCAGATGTTTCTGATACCTATTGAGGATGTAGCAAAGTTTCACTGCTACGTTTCAGGAACATTTCTGAAACATATTTTTGAAAGGAAAGGTGATTGATGCTCTCACAAAATTGTTTCAGAAACGTTTCCAAAACATTTCGATGGTTTTCAAAATATTTCTTACGTTTCATCGAAACATATTAAACACGTTCAGAATGTGTTCATTCAGTTTTTAACACGTTTCAGACACTTCTCTATGTCACCCTAAATTCTTGTGTCGCCTACACCGCGGGAAGATGTTTCTGAAACCTATTGAGGATGTTTCAAAGTTTCACTGAATCGTTTCAGCAACATTTCTGTAACATGTGTTTGAGAAAATTAGGTTCTGCTCTTCACTATGAAATGTTTCAGAAATGTTTGCATATTTTAGAAATGTGTTTCTTCGGGGATTAACTAGAGGCTAAGTATCAAAAATATTCAGACATTTGTTTTAATAACTAATGTCGCTGTGGAATTAGAACCATCACAACAAGAATCCCTTGATACCGACCATGCCAGCGGGCCGATTGTTGAATCGTTATCGAATGACCTTGATCGATATATAGCATTGTGAAGATAGGGATTTATCGATCGAGTTCATTCGATAAACGATTCAACAATCGAGGCGCTGAAGGCTGAATCGATACACTTCATTATTATCAACCTATCAGAGGGATTAGAACACCTTCACTTTAGAAAAGTATACGTAAAGCACGATGTACGGTTTCAATATTCTAGATAATCCATAACTTATGAGCTTTTATGGAGATGAACTCGATTCATACAAGAAATTAAACGTGTTTATAACCTCCACATAATTAAATGTTCAAAAAGTATAGCTTGAGACGAAACATTAAGCTGAAATTTGGTAAAATTGAGAAATTAAACGTTAACGCCCTCTGGTGGATTCAGTTTGAACCAGGAAAAGTTTTAGAAAGGTCCTAGAAATGTTTCTATGTTAATCAATGAAACATCTCTAAAACATGTCAAAACATTTTTAAGTGACGTATAAATTCAAACAAAATATTCAAAAAGGTTTTAGAGACATTTTGAAAATGTTTTGAAAAGGATTTGTTGAAACATTTTCAAAGTGTGTTCCAAATATTTCAACTAAAACCACCCATTTCAAATGACATTTATAATTTGTTTTGGAAACGTTTTAACAAAGATTAATGAGATGAAGAAGAAAAGTTTGGAAAAAATTTTGACTCAGTCCAACGTAACAAAGATCAAACTAGGTCAAAATGTTTTAAATTTGTTTCAAAAATGTTTCAGATGAAATGGTATTTTTCTAAATTCATACGGAATATTTCTGATATGTTTTAGAAATATTCCTGAAAAATCGCGTAAATTTTTTTTAAACTTGTTTTCAAAACAATTCAAAATTTTGGTAATCACGCATCAAAAAACTGAAAGTAAAACATTTCAAATTTATTCCAATATATTTTTTAGGTACAAAATTTGGACGTAGGTTCCGGAATAATGTTTCCAAGATAGTTCTGAAACATTTCTATTTTGTTTCATTTTTTACAGCCGCAATTTATTTCAAATTTCTTTCTAATATATTTTGATTTTAATTTTTTTAATTTTAAAAAAAAAATTTAAAACGGTTCAAATTTGTTTCAATGAAACCTCTGCAAAGCTTCGTGTCAATTATATATTTCAAAAATATTTCTGAAACGTTTCAGTGAGATGACACAAGTTAGACACCGATGGGATGTTTCTAAAATATTAGTGAAAC